GAGGTGAATATGTTGTGCTCCTGTGTCGAGATGTTCTGCTCCTGGACTAGCTCATTCGGTCTATCCTCTACACTCTCTCCAGGGATTGCAGCTTCAGGATTACACCCCAGGCGTGTATGCCAGGCCTGAGCTGTGCCTTGAGGGTGCAAGGTGAAGTAGGGGGAAGAAGAAGCTCTCCCACACACTCACCTGACCTGGGCTAGGAATGCGTCTGGGGGTTCCCGGACGTGGCATGAATTCCTACTCAGCGGATGGGGTGGTGGAGGTACTGTGGAGTGGTGGCGGGCGGCCCAAGGGTTGGGAGAGGGTCCAGCCCATGCTGCACCTGGGCTCGGACTGGTCCCGCTGGCGCAGGGTAGCAGGAAGCTCTCCGCACACTCACCGGACCTGGGCTAGGATGGATCTCCACCAAAAGTTTTAGAAAATATAAAAAATAAAAATTATACCTTCAGAAATGAATTGCATATTTAAATTTTTTAATAAAACTAGTTTACATGTACTAAGATTATACTGACTGATCAGTTTTTAATGTGATAAATATGTTTCAATGGCACTGGTAAGTAACAAAAATTTGAATAAGAAAATGTTATGCTATATACAGCACTGTGGAAAGTGTTAAGCATGCTCACTACATAAGTTTCATAATCTATACTGGTGAGTATAGAAATACTTACTTTCATTCCTTAAAAACCTGCAAGATGAAATTCCATTCAACCCAGCACTTTCCCTTTTGGTCTCTTCTTGAAAACAGCAAAGATACGTTATGATAGTGATACACATATATGCATGTTTATAATAGCACAATTCATAGAAGCTACATCTCAGATGCAATCCAGATGTCTATCAAGAAGTAGATAAACAAAATGTGGTGTTTGAACTATATGAGACATTGTAGAGAATTGGATGCACTTTAAGACCATAATGTTAAGTGAAATAAGTTATTCACACAAGCTTTAATATCTCATGATTTCTGTCATGTAAGAAACCTAAAGTAGAAGTAAAATAAAGAGCAAAATGAAAAATAAATGAGGGGGAAAGATAGATTTTCTCATACAGAAAGGGGACTAAGAGATGGAGGTAACTGAAATAGGGGGCAGGAAGAAGACTAATAAGAAACAAGGGGTGACATGCAGGAACTCTCCACAATAAATGTGATCATTATATAACACAAGGAAAATCTAATAACTTTTCTATTATTCAGAGGAAATGGACAAATAAACAGTATTTTTTGACCTTCTGAATTTTCAAAATTAATATATATCATGTATGCCATCAGAAATGGTTTTATCTTTAAATTCTTTACTATTCTGGTAGTCCGGTTAAAAACATGTAGGGCTTTCATAAATGCTGATGACGTTCTATTTGCAAGGAAGATTTTATTTTTTTAGGGAAGGGTCTACAGGGTGTTCAGGACATCACTACTAGATCAAACTCCTAATGATCTTTCTGTTTACAGCCTCCCAAGAGCTGGGATAACAGGCATGCAACACCACTCCCAGTCTCAATTGCTGTCTCAGCACACCCCAAAGGAGGGGCCAGCATGGCAGGCCCTGGGATCAAACTCATGTTCCCTATATCCGCTTACAGGTGCTTTGATCCACTGAGCTATTTGGCCAGCCCTTACAAGGAAGGTATTAACGATGGTTTTTTTATCTTCTCAAGTGGAATAGGCCTTATAGAAGACATTGTAAAATATTGACACTGAAAGAGGAGCATCAATCACCAGAATCTAGATACTTAGAGCCTCAGTTATCCATCAAAGAACATGGATTCAGAGGATTCAGTCACTAGCTCAAGAGAGAACCACTATGGCAGAAAGACTTCAGTGAACAAGGAACACACTTCCTACAGCCCAGGAAGCAAAGCACAGAAGAGCCCTAAAGACAAGACTTCAGTTCACAGGTATACACCCCACACACCTTCTCTCCTATTTCAGGTGATTCTGGTGGGATCCACACAGATTACTCAGAGCAGTGAGTGTACCTATCCCAACTCACAGATTGAAATCCTAGAGTCCACAGCAATGTGCTAATTTGGACCAATAAATGCCACATACACAAACTAGGTTTTAAAATATGGAGAAGAGAGTTATATTCAATCATATTGGATATTCATAACAAAATAAGAGATACTTAGAACACCCTGGGAAGCAGGCTATGATGATGCAAGAGTCATCAGGTAGGTTTAGTACATGGTGGCCATGCTTTGTTATTGCTTAGTACATTGCCTCACCATGTCCTTGGTGAAATTGAGTTGGAAGGATTATTTCTCCTGCACCAGATGGTCAGCTCTCTCTCTAACAGGCTTGCTCCTAGCATTAGAAAAGGGCCTAATGCTCATCTGCTGCACAATCTTTACTGATGGACTTAAATCCCTTCGCTGTTAATTCTGTCACTGGGAAGCCAGGTTTCTGACACTGTACTGGCCAACACCACATCCTCTAGTCCCCAGCTTATGCACTTGAGTTACACTTGTGGGCTCTGACAGGTGATATTCTCTGAATAACCAGAAGTCACTGTATAATTCTCAAACAACCACAAAGGAGATGTCATCAGAGGAGGTACCAGGAAATGGGCACTTTCTTAGAAAACTCCCAGGATGTAGGCTCAAAAAAATCAGAAAGAAACATAAGGTTTTGAGCTGACTCCCCCTCCCACCTTCCAATGATAGGGGATAAAAAACAGAAAGCACACAGATTCAGAAGCTCATACCTGAGACTTCTTGGGAAGATGCAGCTACTCTTGCTCCTGTTGGCCTTCTCTCTACCCTACAAGACAAGTGCAGGTAAGTTACCACCTCCACCCCAGAGAACCCCAAACCAATTCTAAAGAGGGCATAGTTTTCTTGACCCTCTGCACAGCCCAGAACTTTTTGTCTACATGGATTGCTGTGAACCTGACCTCCAATCCCACAAGAAAACCCAAATTATGAAACGTGGTAAGCTACCAAGACTGTACTCAATAAGAGCTAGTGGACACTATCCTCTCTCCAGGCCCAACCTTTGTCATCTGGGAAGTGGGTCTTTCCTCAAAGTGCATGCAAATGGTGAGAAGTTGCAGGACAAAATGTCAAATATCCCTGAACAGTGCAGAATAGGCCTGTCTTTCTTGTTTGGGAGCAGGGAGGTACAGCCCTCATTAGTTACTCAGCAGAGATGTCTACAGCTGAGTGAGCCCAGAATGCACAGAATCACTGTCCTCAGAACACTAATTTTGCTTTTCCTCAGTGCTAGTCCCATTCTCCAACTCTGCTTTAACACCAGTCACTATCTCCCTGCTTTCCATATGAGTCACAGAGATAGACTGTATCTTCTCTGCCTCCTAGAGTACCATCAGCCATGTCCTACCACCTTTCATCCAGATACAGCCTGAAGCTTCTCCCTCACACACCAATGAACAGTTCTGAGACATGCATCACATGTGAGGTCCCAAGAAAGAGGAACAGACAACATCTAGATTACACTGGAAGTACAATACATGACATAAGAATTGAATTAGAGACAATTTCTTATCTATTATTTTCATTCTCTCTTCAAATAAGATTTATTTTTTCTAAATGCACATATTTACTTTTTGAAATAAGAATTTCATTTATCTATAATTTAATACTTTTTACAATAATTCTATTGAGAAAGAAATAGCAATGAAACAGCTTCAAAACAGGTTATTAGGACAGTTACAATAATTAATACATTTTGTAGTCCTGAGGGGACTTGACTGACCTTGTCAGACACAAAAGTTACATTTTTTGTTATATGCACCTTGCTATATCTTGATCTTAACAAGGTATAAACAATAAAGCCATGTTAATATGTGCAGTTGTAAAAGGCTCAAGTCAACAACTTCTGACATTGCCAGTCATGCAGAAAATCCACTACTATTATAGAATACTGGACTATGTTGGATTACTTTGCAAACCTAATTTATAAAACATAAAAAGTATAAGCAAAAATTAAGTTTTAATGAAAGGAAAAATTAATGTTTAATTCTTTGACCAGTCTTATGGGCCTATATCAGATAATTTGAGAAACAAATTTCATGATTCCAATATGTAATGTAAAACTATTGTTAATTTTTTGTTCCTGCTTTGGAATTCTATATCATTTTTATTGTTTTATGTTACTTTGTTTTGTTTGTGTTTTTTACTTGTTTTTCTTTCTCTACTCCTTAAAATATTTTTTTTAGAAAATAAAGAAAAGTAAGGAAAGGCATCATGAAAAACCTCTGGGATTTTATTGTCCCCAGACCAGCAAATTCATCTACAACTGCATGTAGAAAAAAATATTTTTGAGACCAAGACCTGATTTCCCTCCCTAAGCAGAAAAATCTGAGGCTTTTCCCTCCAGGGTGTTCCCAACTGCATTGGATCCCACTCGTCAAAATTCTCAGTAGTTCTGGGGCCACAAAGTAGAAGCTCAAGTAGTCCTGATTTGCTGCATACAAACTGACTTTTCCTCCAGGAGAGATCATCGGAGGACGTGAAGCCAAACCCCACTCCCATCCTTATATGGCCTTCATTGAATTCTGGTATACTACCTCTACATCACAGTGTGGTGGCTTCCTGATACATGAGAAGTTTGTGTTGACAGCTGCTCACTGTTTCAACAGGTAAGGAACAAAAAAACTGTCCACAGTCTCCTGGAAATGCTTCTCAGAGACACTTGCTCCCAAGGTGCTCACTGAGCACCTGAAACCACATAAACAGGAGCTTCCTTTGAGAGTGAGAAAGGCCAACAATGACCCCAGAAGAGAAAAGTTAAATGGCACACCTATATTAAGACCTAGGAACAAGCCTTCACACAACAATGCAAAGTAAAGCAGTTTTATATTTTCATGTAGATAACTGACCCCTTAGAACTGCTGACATCCTGGGCCAAAGATTGCAGCTGGTGTTACTAAGAAGCACATGGCATAATCACACAGTCAAATGCGCCTTCAGTCATGTGGTTCACAAATATATACTGGCTGTAGCTTACTAGCTACAGCCCTGGGGATGGGTCCAAGTAGGCTCCACATTCCTTAACTCACTAAACTCTCTGTGCAGAATTCTGGAGTCAAAGATCATAGAAATAGTTGTCGTTCTGGGGGCGCACAACATCACGAAACAAGAGAAGACTCAGCAGTACATACGTGTGCAAAGACGCATCTCACACCCACAATTCAGTCTTGAAACATTCGCCAATGACATCATGCTGCTGCAGGTAAGGCGCAGCTCCCTGCTTCTCTTGCACTCCTCATGCAGTGTTACTCCTCCCACTATGGCTCTGCACCTTCCTTCTCTGCCGTCATGTCCACCACAGTGTGCAGGCCCAGAAGACAAAAGCTGATCTGGACTCTCTTACTTCTTTTCCATCAGCTGAAGGAAAAGGCCATGCTGACTAAAGAGGTTCAGATTCTACAGCTGCCTAGCAGAAATTCCCAGGTGATGCCAGGTGTCGTGTGCCAGGTGGCTGGATGGGGAATGATGGACCAAACTGGAAAATTTGCAAACACACTGCAGGAAGTGGAGATGACAGTACAAATTGATGAGGAGTGTGAAGTCCACTATCCCAATTACAACAGTGCTATTCAAATGTGTGTTTGGGACCCAGACATTCAAAAAACCTCCTCTTTGGTAAGAATGGACAATTCTCACTCATGTCTTGGGGGTAAAGAGTGTTTGGGAAAGATGTAAGACTAGGACACCCAAATATCAGGGATTCTGCAGTTAGTAGGCTGTGATATTTCTCATTAAACAGAAAAAAGTGATCAGCCTGAGGTGGGAGGTAACTGAGACTCATACAACTTTATGAAGGGGCCTCTGTGAACAGGACCCCTCTGGAATCATCAATTTGCAACATACTACATGAGTTCATTCACACCCCAGTCACTAGAAACCATCCCCTGATTGTGCAATACTTATCCACAGTTGGCTTGTCAGAGCCACCTGACCCTCATGGTCAATGGGCTTTTCCTCTCTGTTCCAAGTCTGACCCATTCACCTGTTTTTATGTCCTTAAACTGTTGCCTGAAACCAATGGACCATCCTTATGTCTCATCTCACCAGAGGACTATGAAGCGTACTTTAAGAGGGCTTTGAGATATCGGAAGGGACAAGTATAGGAAGTGCATTGACTCACAGACTCACTCTCTATTTACAGGGTGATGCTGGAGGGCCCTTCATGTGTAATAATGTGGTTCAGGCCATTGTCTGCTCTGGAAGCAAAGATTGGAAACATCCACAAATCTACACCAAACTCTCACCTTATCTAGACTGGATAGAGAAAACCATAAAATATCTCTTACTGCAGGAAACAAATGAAGCCCCATCTCTGAGCAACCATCTTTCCTGGGTCTGAGATGATAATATCTCTACAACAGACACCAACAACAAAATAAATATTTCCTCACAGTAAAAAGATTGGTTTTGTTTGTTCATTTGCTATCCTTCACAGAGACCAACTCCATGCTAAACAAGCCAGTGAAACAATTGTACAGATTTCAAACTCCTAACTGCCTACTCCCCTTAATACCTACAAATCTCCACTCTAATCTAAAAACCAGTTCCTTCTAACCTGCTTTAATTTCTGCATACTCTTCCGTTTTACAAGGATAAAAACTAAGCAACATCAGAAGAAAATTTACACAGTATTTCTCCTGGGTCTCAGAATGAACATATCCACTTAATGGGTCAAATGGCAAAGGGGAAGGTAGGTAATTTGATGGATGCTTCAGACCTGTCAAGCACCTCTAAGTTTACAACTCACTCCAATCATACTGAGCAGAAGGGGCTCTTCCTGAGCAGGACATTTCTCTCTCACAGTTTTATCGATAAGAGGCTATGGAACATATCCTCAGAGACTCTTCATTCTCAACTGACATTAGTTTCCTTTTCACTTATCCTCTAAGTACCAGATTAACCTGCACTGTAGCCACCAGGCTTCCCATTATATTTTGTCTCCTCTCATAGTTGTCACACCTAACCAACTCCTATCCTCATTAGGCCACAAGTATCTAATGTTGTTCCTACCCCAAGCCCCACATATATCACATCAATTATCACATGTGGTTCCATGCAAGGCACGTGGATGACAAGGCTAGTGGGATTAGAACCCATGCCCCCATCTTTCATCTTGGCAGTGCCCTTCATTGCTTTAAACCCCTATATGCTGAAAGGCCCTTGATCACTGAGCCACATAGCCCCTTTTACCCTTTGCCTGATGATCACTATTGGCCTAAGAAATAAAAATCCTTGGGCACACAAGGGATACACCAGTCTTTTAACTTACAAAATGCTCCTCTCTGAAGAATTACTGGAAAACATCCTTGTTTCCATCAATAAACAAGTCCTTACTAACAAGTCCTGAGTGCTTACTAACTTCCTGGTCTTAAGGATCAACAGTGAACGGAGTAAAATCCTGTGAAACTGGAAGTGGTACAAACATTCCAAAACTGGAGAACAAGCCAGTCCTCCATACTGTGCCATAAGGCCTGGATCCACGTTAGAACTTATGGAAATAAAATAACTTAGTTTACTTCTTGTTGGCAGATTCGACCAGTATTATCACATGACACTCCAAAGTGCATGAGGTATACAAATTACATCATTCTGTTGCAGGCCACACATCTTCCTATTACTTTTGCAATTGTAATGCAGGGTCATGCCTTCCTGTGGAAACTACCCTTTCCCTCCTTGTCATCTTGGGCATCACAATATCCAGGCCCAGAAATCATATGGTCTGTTCTGTAAGCTAATCTAGACCCTCTTGCCTTTTACCCATCAACTTGAAGGAAAAGCCAGCCAGAGTAAAACTGTGCAGCCACTTAGAGTACATGAGGACATGACAGGTGAACACAGGAAACTCATGGCCAGTTGGAAGAGAATGAACTGGGAGGCTCTAAGGAAAATACACTGCAGAAGGTCACCTGACAATGCCAGATGAAATAAAATGCACTATAAACACAGAATCCAGTGGAGGAGGAACTCAGTATGGGGTGTTAGTGTCCTATGCTAAAGGCCTTGAATATATTGCTCACAAAAGACCACATTATATGAATTACAGAGCATATATTAATTAAGCCACAATGAGTGTACTTCTCCTTCTCATCTGGGAAAACACAAAAGTCCAGTTATTTGTTCCCTATCAGTTTTTATGTAGTTTCTTTTTTGCTATGAAAATTGGACAGGAATGAAGTTTTCCCTATATCCTACAGTTATGACACATGAGGCTGTGGGATTTATGACTAAGCATGGGCAAATGATCTGACTCTTATTGCTTTTAATTGGTCCTATCTCCTCATCTCCTACCTGTTTGCAAAGATTTGACAAGGCAGAGGAAGGAGTATGCAATTGGGCAATTTGGCAAGGCAAAAGGGAAAGGTGGTCTGGGCCAGATGTCTACTATATAAATAATTTAGACAGGAGTCAAGATAAACTGAATTCTTCCTCAGTCTCCTACTTCTAAGGTGAATAAGATATTGTACTAGATGCCATTCCTTACATCCTCTACTTAAGAAATATTTTCTTTCTAAGACATATAATGTCTATTTCAAGAGGGCAACTTATCCTTTATTTCATATTCACTATTATCTCTCATTTCCATTGGATTGCCTTTTCTAATCATGCTCAATGCATGGGTCATTATCAAATTGAACAGACAGTACCCTGCAAAGAACATGATTATCGTGGTTATTATTGCCTGGTTACTCCTGTCAAGAGAGAGGTTAATGTGAGTCTCCAGTTCAACAGGAAATCAAACAACTTGGGGCCATCATACTCATTAAACCATCATTTTCCCTCTTCAACATCACATTCTAGGTTTTCTAGATTCTCCATGATGATCCTTCACTTGTTGGCATAGAAATGGCACTCTTCCCCTAAGGGGGCACAGAGTCCTCCATGTTTCATGAATGCCAAATTAGGCCCCTTTCTATTTTGTAACACTACTTTTGCTAAAGAATTATTTGCTCATCTATCTGTTTTATCACAAATTGAACTCCAGGCACATTTTGTTCTATACTGTCAGTTATTCAGTGATGTCCCTGGTGGCCAGTCTCTGAATTGTCCACATCCCCTATCCCTGTAGCCAAGCTTCCTCTTAGAGCTATCCTGTTTAAAACTTGCACTAACACAGGGTTTGCCTTTTGTACATGTGTGTGCCTTTCATGCGTGAATATGTGAGATAATAAATGTCTGTATTTCAGTTCCCCTTTGATGAATCGTCTCAGGAAATCAACATAGTTAGCAGAAAAGAGCCCATAAAAGTTAACTCTTGCTATTATCCAGACACTTAGGTACCCCACTGGTGCAGAAAAATCATGCCTCTCAGGGAGACTGGAAGGTGAGATTTTGTGAAGCTAGCTGACTGCAAGTAACCTGATTCTTTCCTTGTCCCACACAAAAGCTTTTTCTGTACACTGAGTCTACCATGCACAGAGACAATGTCTCTTCCCCTTTCAAGAAGCATAAGTATTGAGTGGGTGTTATAGGCTCTGAAGATGCTATAGCTGCATAAATGTGTGGGCTGGGCCATATACAGATCTAGCAGGCTCCAACTGACTTAAAGCTAGACAATTTTAGCAAATAATGAATTTCACTGAACAACTGATAGATTTCATACTTAGCTCCTGGGATGCCCATCTCTTTTTGGGGGGAGTGGGTCTTATCTGCCTAGGTTCTAGGGTTGAATGTGGCTTATGTTGACCAGTATTTGGGATGACTGTCAGTAAAATATATTGTACACCATTTACTTCTCAAGTCAAAACTGGCAAAGGGACCACTAACTTTCAAATGATTATATCTATGTGGTTGAACTCGAGGAATATTTCTGGATCGTATACTGGGACTGTGCCAAGGTGCATGCACACTTGCTGCCTATATCTGGCAGTCCAAAGTGGGTCATAAACATTTTTTTAAAAAATCCTCACCTGTGTGCGAAATCTATCTAAGTGTACAGCGCAATAGCCAGCACTTTTTTCCTGGTACTCCTGATTATGTGCATCACTTTGTATGGACCAACTGGTTAGGGGATTCAGAACTCTCTGAGAATTTCCTTGAAAACCCCTCTTTTAAGCCTGATTATCTCACAGTCCCAATGTTGGCAATATGCCTCTCTTTCTTTATCACAATTCTCTCCCATGCTCAACTTCAACCAGGACAGGTTTTTTACCTTCATGTGCGTGGAAGTATAGATTGATTGCCCACTTTTGAACCCAGTGGGCAGAGAAGGAATGTTTTGTTAGGTCAGCCTTTTCTTTCTATACTCAAGGTTCCAGAATTTACATATCAGGACAAAAAATACTATAATATGATGAGCATAAGGGAGGTGAAAAGAGGCAAGCATGGCCTGCCTCAGTCTGATAGAGTCCATCCAAGGTTTCTTGAGATTCTCATTGCATAAGTGTTTTCCTGGAGTCCCTGAGCCACCATTTTCCATCCCATGGTAGGTGCTAAGATCAGCATAGCCTAAATAAGTAGGTTCAGTTTGCCACCTCAGATGGAGTTATTTTGCCTGAGTCCTTCAGACAATTGAGGTTGGCAGGGTCTGGGGGAAGTCATAGTTGGTAGAACCGCAGCTACTCACTTTTTCTCTTGTGAGTGATGAATCCATAGCTTCCAACCTGTAACTTTAAAACAGGTGGGTGTGGTGAGGATGACATCATGTGGCCCCTCCCACATATTCTTGAGGGTCACTTTCCTCCAGCTTTTAATTACAACCTAGTCTCCCAACTCAAAATGTGTATAGAGTTATGAATGAGGAGTGGATGACGTTCTGGTATAGTTTTCTGTAATCCCTTCAAAGTCCTTTACAAGGCCTGTAGTTACTATTACAGCGTCAGAATCCTAATCTCTCACAGTCCCTTAAATATAAGCACCAAGTGGGGTAGTGTTCCAAAAAAGATTTCAAAAAGATTAAACCCATTCCAGTATGGGATGCAACGTGACCACAGCAGGGCCAACAGAAGCATAAAAACTGAGTTTGCATCTGTCTCCTGGATTACTTTAGACTGGGTCATCTTGAAAGTATAATATTGCCATTCTGCTTGGCCTGAACATCAGGGTCAGTTAGCTGTATGTAGCTTCCACATAAGGCACAGAACACTGGAAATGCTTTGAGTGACTATCCCCAAAGGCAGTTCCATTTTCTGATTCCACCATTATGGGGACCCTGTACAAGAGGATGATTAGATTCCTCAGTACTATTGCCACCTCTGTAGAGGTTTCAGTTCTGGGGGCCATTGCATCTACCCATCCTGAGTAGGTGCAAGTAAGCACCAACAAATAGTTTTTGTTTCCAACTATGAACTTCTCAGTAAACTCCACTTTGACATCTTCAAATGAGAGGGTTTACAGTTGGTG